GCACCATACAGGAAAATAAAGACTGGAAAAGCTGGCCATTTACACTAGCAGATTTTTTGAACAAATGTTCACTATATGAACATTTGTCTGAAAATTCTCACCAGTACATTTAATGACTTCACGAATGTCGTTTGAAAGTACTTCAAAATGTTATTGCTGTTAACATTCGATTTTAGAATAAATGGATATTCCTAAAAAAAAAACAAGAATTTAGTTTGTTTAAGAAAAAATTTCCATTGTGCTCCTTTTTGAATTTTCTTGCCACTATGGTTGAAAATTGAAGTATTTTTTGACTCCACCAACCAATACAGAATTAAATGAGCAAAGCTAAAATGTTTGAATAAAATTCTTCTAGCATATGGCCAGCTGAAGCCCCTTGTATTTTGGCTTTGTGATGGAAGTGACTTTGTGATGGCACCGTGGTCTCTATGTCATTTTAGTAGAAGTGTTTAAATTGATTTTGGCTCATTTCATCATAATGGTTCCACTGTCTTTGTTTTTACAGGTAGTCCAGAAGATAATGGTAATAACCTTGCAACCATCTGTGAAAAAGTCATAGAGGCAGAGGTAGGAGTAATCATTTTCAACATCCTTTTATGAAGAATAATTTGGGCAGATATATGAACCAGCTTTTCGTCCATCAGGAGCTAGGCACACAAGTTCCTATCTTTGTCCCATTGATGTATCAAAGCTGGGCAGTCTGCATTCCAGGCATTCTTCGCTGGGTGCATACTGCCCTGAATTATTGTACTGCTTGGTGCACTATCCAGCTTCAGCGACTGTCTGCATCTTGCAGAATTTTTACAGGTTGCTGGTAGTGAAGCCAGTGCCTTCCACCTAAATGCCGGAATCTCATGTACCAGAATCTAAACACTCAGTATGCATGTGGCCTAAAATGTTCTTAGTAAAAGTAGCTCCAATATGGACTACATGATTTAGACTCAGAAGCAAGTCAAAATCAATATTGCTTGGTATTGCTCCCATTGGAAGTATGACCAGGGAACTAAAGATGGCTTGTCCCCCTTTCCCTTTGACCATTACCTCCTACCCTTCACAATAATTAACCACTTGGACAACAAGCTGGAGTTAATGGCTAAAACAGCCTTTTATTACAACAACAATAAATAACATCTGTAAATAATGTAAACAAAGTATAACTGGAGCTTCCAGGTCCCAGTAGGCATCAATAAACGAAACTACCTGCGTCCTACTTAAAATAGGCCTCCAGATGCAACACCACCGAGACAACCACCGCAGATACCACCATCAGAAAAAACTGTGAGCCATACCTCAGACGAGTCCATACAAAGTACCTTTTTGTGCCCACAGTAAGCTACAAGGACTGTGTCCCGTCAGCACTAACTAACACAACCACAACCCAAACAACGGTCAAGACACAACGGGCAGGAGGGAGGGAAGTTTTCAATTGCCAATCTTCCTTCCGACTGAAGACCCCCTCCCACACCCCATCCAAACCACCCCACTGTGGCTCCATCTGCTCCTATCTTAACCACTTAGCACTTCCCGTCCTGCTTCTTGCCAACTTAGATGACTCTCCTTTCTCCACCCCTTTAACCCCCAGGCCTCCCTTGACTGTGTGTGCTAAGCTGGGTATGCGTGTACCAAAAGTTAGCCAGTTCAGCAGGAACCAACCAACTACACTACATGTGTACTCCTCTCTGTTCAACAGAAGCCAGTCATTAGACCAGCTTCTGTCAAACAGTCATGCTGGAAATCCAGTAGAACATCCAGTTTGATGCCTGCATTCATATCACTTGTTTGGGTGTGGGGATCTGTGAGGGTTTTTTAGTTTTTTTTTTTTTCATTCAAGCAGAACATATACCCAGCTTTAGGGCCCCATAACAAAACCAATAAGAGCCCCCTCCCCAGTTACTTAACTGTCTGTCTCAAAGTCAATGCCTCTGGTGAGTCCTGTTGACCATGTGCTCTATGGAGGTTTGGTGATATAGCAGGCAGATTATAGACTCACATGTAAAGATAATATTTGGCCTTTTTTGGCAATAGTTGGCTTACTTCCATCACCAACAGCTTATTTTATGCATGGAGCTAATATCTCTAGCTAATTACCCAGGACCAGGGGTGGACTGACCATTTGGAAACTCGGGCACTGCCCGAGGGCCCGGGGTCAGTAGGGGGCCCCATGAGATGCCCCTGGTACCTTTTTCACAGGCTTTTTTAAGTTTGGGCAAGGACAAAGCGGTGTCCCGTGCAGCACACACCCCCGCCCCCTAGTAAAACAACTCCCCCTCACACAGATAACCCTTCCCTGCAAAATAAAGTTAACCCCTTCCTCCCCAGTGCCATTAGTACAGTGTCAGTGGGGTTTTTTTTGCACTGATCACTGTATTAGTGTTTCTGGGGATGTCAGTGACCCCAAGTCAGTACCCCCCAATGTTAGAATGTCCGCCGCAGTCCCGCAGTCCCACCATAAGTCGCTGGTCGCTGCCATAAGTCACTGATCGCCGCCATAATTCGCTGATCGCCGGCATTATTAGTAAAAAAAAAAAAACTAAAAATCCCAGTATCTTTCCCGCCATTTGTAAATGCTATAACTTTCACGTAAACCAATTAATTTACACGTGTTGGTTTTTTTTTTGGCAAAGGCATGTCGCAGAATGCATTTTGGCAGAAATGTATGACTAAATTTGATTTTTGCATTTTTTTTTTACTGGACATGTTTTATAGCAAAAAGTCCAAAATATAGTTTTTTTTCCTCAAAATTGTCAGCCATTTTTTTATAGCGCAAAATATAAAAACCGCACAGGCAATCAAATACCACCAAAAGAAATCTCAATTTGTGGGGAAAAAAAGGATGTAAATTTCATTTATGTACCATATTGCATGACCGCGCAATTGTCCGGTAAACTAGCGCAGCGCTGTATAGCAAAAAAAATGGCGTAAATTGCAGTATCTATACCAAGTTTGTAGACGCTATAACTTCCACACAAAGCAATCAATATACACTTATTGGGATTTTTTTACCAAAAACATGGAGCAGAATACATTTTGGCCTAAATTTATAACCAACTTTGAGTTTACTATATATTTTTTATAGCTGAAAGTAAAAAATATTGTTTTTCTTCAAAATTTTTGGCATTTTTTGTTTATAGCGTGAAAAATAAAAAGCGCACAGATGATCAAATACCACCAAAAGAAAGCTCTATTTGTGTGAAAAAAGGGCATAAATTTCGTTTGGGTGCAGCATTGCATGACCGCGCAATTATCAGTTGAATTAGTGCAGCGCCGAGTAGCAAAAAGAGGCCTGGTCATTAAGGGGGGTAAATCCTCAGGAGCTCAAGTGGTTAAGACTCCATTCTTCCCAAGTGACCTACTGCACAAGTAGCGGGGGATAATTAGGATGTGCGGCAGTAGTGAACATGAGACATGTGTTTTGTTTGGATTCATCTTTCAGAAACAAAATTTCATTTTCAGAGATTCGGACGTATACAAATCTCTGAATGGACATAGTAACGAATGTCAACGAACCAAAAAAGTTATAATGAAATTAACAAATGCATTTGTTTCATTAGTGTCATTTGGATGACGCCACATGATGTGATAGTAGTTCGGGCCATAGGGAAACCAAACCCACAACAGTAAAATCAGTCTGTATATGCAGTAAAGCATGCTTGTTATACTCACTGGGGAACCTAAGGGGTTAATCCTCTGCATTGTGCAAAAAGTCCATTTGATTCTGACTTCTCTTCTCCTCCTCTTCTTCAAATGTCCACCTGATAAGACAGACTGAACCCGTAGTCACATGCACTTGCTCAGCTTAGTGTGTATTGCTAAAGAGGTTTTTTTTTTTCCTCGGGAGGGTGCATGTGATCAGCACTAGGCCAATCAGCACTGTCCAGACAGAGGTCAGGGGTTTTCCATCCTCCTAAAGCAGAAAGAAAACTCCTTTAACCACTTGCTGTCCGCCTGCTGTTCTAAAATGGCAGGGCGGTGGCACTCCAGGGGCGGGTTGCCATTCATAAACGGCAACCGCTATTTCTAGTTGTGCGCGCTCCCTGGGAGCGCGCAGCACCGCTATCCGGTGCCCGCTGTGTTCTCCGGACACAGTGAAACACCGATCGTCGGATGGGACCTCTGTACGAGGTCCCGATCATGTGATCACTGATTGGCCAATCAGTAATCACATGCAAAGTAGTAAGCAAGATGTCACTTGTGACATCATTGCTTACTACGTGTGAAATCTGTGAATGATCACAGAGGTCACATGGTACAAGGCTATTCACAACAACCTTGTACCATGTGACAAGCTCTGACCAATCACAGCTCACACAGTATTTTTCAATAGCTGCAAGAATGCAGACAGAGAGAAAGAGAAATGATTGCTTTTACATCCTATATGGGTGTAAAAGCAATCACTGGAAAAAAAAAAAAAATCTTCATCACCCCCCACAAGTAGTACAGTGTCACCATGGTGACACTGTACTGCTAGGGTGACGGTATGTAAAAATAAATATAAAAAAATAATAAAAATGTAAAAAAAAGTTTAAATATTATAATTTTTGGTTATAAACTAATTTGGCATATTTTTTTTTTTGCTAAAAAAGATAACGGAATTAAGTTTTGGCCAAGATTTATGATGAAATCTTTATTTGCAAAATTTTATAAGAAAAACACTTTTCAAAATTTTTGGACTTTCATTTATATAGCAAAAAAATAAAAATCCCAGCGGTGAATAAATACCGCCAAAATAAAGTTTTATCTGTCTCAAAAAAAATGGTAAAAAATTCATATGGGTACAGTGTTGCATGACCACGCAATTGTCATTCAAAGTGTGATAGCGCTGAACAGCTGAAAATTGCCCTGGTCAGGAAGGGGGTAAAAGTGTCCGGACAGGTAGGGGTTAACCAGTGCTCTGCTGGACACTGATAGAAGTCACAAGACTGCTCTAACTGCTGATGAGAAAATGTATTTAGCAGTTTATATTTACTAAAATAATTGAATTTCCATGTTCTGTGTATTGTGGGAGACCAGATATAGTGAATGCAGGGTTCTGGGAGACCAGATATAGTGAATGCTGGGTCCGGGGAGACCAGATATAGTGAATGCAGGGTCCGGGGAGACCAGATATAGTGAATGCAGGGTCCGGGGAGACCAGATATAATGAATGCAGGGTCCGGGGAGACCAGATATAGTGAATGCAGGGTCCGGGGAGACCAGATATAGTGAATGCAGGGTCCGGGGAGACCAGATATAGTGAATGCAGGGTCTTGGGAGACCAGTATAGTGAATGCAGGGTCCGGGGAGACCGGATATAGTGAATGCAGGGTCCGGGGAGACCAGATATAGTGAATGCAGGGTCCGGGGAGACCGGATATAGCGAATGCAGGGTCCGGGGAGAGCAGATATAGTGAATGCAGGGTCCAGGGAGACCGGATATAGTGAATGCAGGGTCCGGGGAGACCAGATATAGTGAATGCAGGGTCTGGGGAGACCAGATATAGTGAATGCAGGGTCCGGGGAGACCAGATATAGTGAATGCAGGGTCTGGGGAGACCAGATATAGTGAATGCAGGGTCCTGGGTTTAGTGACACTTTAAAGAACAGTTCTGTAAAGAATTGGCTCCATCTGTTAAATAGCACAACACCACCTACTGGATGGAAGTAAGATTGCACTTGCCTACAAGTGTTCTTTCAGATGTTGGTACTCTCTAGTAAAATACCATCATTTACAAAAACTCTCTCTTCTAAACACCATATTAGATGCATCCTTGACTTCTATAGAAGACTTACTCCTACTCTCTGGTTTTTGCATATATCTGGACTGCATAATATATCACGACCAGATGCACAGCAGCCTCGACTCCAAGAATTACTACTATTGACAGACTTCATATGGTAATAAATAGTCAAATAAACATCTGATTACCCAGGCTATATTTGAATCAGTAAACACAGCAGCGTTTGACACACAGTGTGACAATATTTCTGGCTGATTATTTTTTGCACTTAGATAGAACAGATATAAGAAAACGCTTTCAATTATATTTTTAAAGTGGAATTCCAGGTTTCCTATCACTTTGCAAAATTTGTTTGGGCCAGGCTGGCCCAAATAAACTATTTCTATTACAGAACGATGTAGCCCCCGTGTGTGCTGTAACATATTATTGTCATGTAGCACTACCCCCTTAGGGGCAGCTGGATTAGAATTGGGCCCCCCTATGCTCTGCACAGCCAGGCAACACACATTTCCCACACTTTGCATACAGGAGTCGAAGAACAGTCTTTGAACTTGATTTTGTGATTTATTTTTTTTAAGGGTTAAGAACTTGGATGGGGTCTAGAAACTATGTACAAAAATGTGGTTAGCAACAGTCTCTTTCCTTGAATGGCTCCAAAGACTACTCCTAGTGTGCCTGCTGAGACCCTGGATGATTACTCTTTTCCAATCAACTGCAGAGGGTATTCCCTGGGCAAGGGGGTCCAGAAGCTGCCAATTTAGCACAAGCAGTCCCAGATGAGAAGCTAGTTGGGTCCAGGGGCGGACTGACGATTTGAAAACTCGGGCACTGCCTGAGGACCCGTGGTCAGTAGGGGGCCCCATGAGATGCCCGTTACCTTTTTCATAGGCTTTTTTGAGTTTGGGCTAGGACACAGGGGCCTCATGAGTTGTCATTCCCCCCGTGGTTGGGTCTTTCACCTGACTGCTCTCTCCCCTTACCAGCCCAGGGGGTGTAAGAGTACTCACACTGTCCTTTCCTGGTAGCTGCTTTCAGGGCTTTTGCTGGGCTGTCTCCTTCCCTGCTGTTCAGGATGTCCTCCCCAGGAGACAGTGGCACCATAGGGATCCTCTTTTCCAGCAAGCTGCCTGTAGGTAGGCCCCCTCCCTGGGGCCCCTTCACAGGCTCCACACTCCATCTTTCACTCAACACTGCCCTTACTCCCCAGGCTCTGCCACATTTGAGTGTTGCCCTGGTCACCACGCCCAGCCTCCTGCCAGGGGATTGGCCAAGGTACCTCAAACATGCAGATCTGGGCCTCCTTCCCTCCTCCAGAAAGCGCTCAGGTTTCTGGAGAGATGAGAGGGCTCCAGAAGCCCTGACCTGATAGAACCTCCTAACCTGTCCTGAGGTGAACTCCTGCCTCACTCACAAGCTGATTCAACCCAGGCTGCTGCTCAGCCTCTGCTTAAAAAGAAAAAAAACAACCTATCTAGCGAACTTGGAGGGTGTTACAGTAGCAATAGCTACGTACAGTAAGAGCGCTCTGTTCTGATAGCAGCAAAGGTGACTTGACATCTGCTTCTGAATTTAAAAAGAGACAGGATGCGCGCTTCTCGTGCATTCAGGATAAGCGGAAGGGTGGACAGATGATGTCACAATTTCCACCTCTGCCAATCAGAGGAAGACTTTGATAAATATACAAGGCTTCTCCTGAACAGTAGAGAAGAACTCATGGCGACTTTTTAGGATAGGAAGTGGCTTGTACACAGTGCCGCTTACTGTATGCAGATTTGGAGGAGGCTGAGAACAATAAAATGTACTTTATTATTATACAGGATTTATATAGCGCCAACAGTTTGCACAGCACTTTACAATATAAGGGAGACAGTACAATTACAATACATTTTGGTATAGAAGGAATAGGAGGGCCCGGCTCGTGGAGCTTACAATCTAAAGGAAGGGGGAGGTGATACAAAAGGTGATAGCTGCGGGGGGGGGGGATGATCTGGTGGAGGTGATTCAAGTACAGTTCTTAGGTGGAGGTGGGGTAGGCATCCCTGAATAAGTAAGTTTCAAAGATCGCCTAAAGGTTGACAAGGTGGGGGCTGACTGGATATACTTTGGTAGGGAGTTCCAGAGGATGGAAGAGGCTCTGGAGAAGAGCGTGGGAGGAGGTGATGAGGGAGCTAGAGAGGAGGATATCATGGGAGGAGCAGAGTGGGTGATATCTGTGGATGAGGTTGGTGATGTAGCTAGGAGCAGTGTTGTGGATGGCTTTGTAAGCTGTGGTTAGCATTTTGAATTTTATACGTTGGGTTAGTGGAAGCCAGTGGAGGGATTGGCAGAGAGGGGCAGCACTTTTGACTTAAAAATACATATGAACAGATGTATTTTCTTTTTAAAATAGCAAAGTTTAGTGTGGCTTTAAAACCTCCATAGGCAGCTTGAATTTCTGCGGCAACAGCTGAAAAATGGCCATGGGTGGCCCTGAAATCATCACCAGGGTAAACAACAGTCAGTCAATCGACTGAGCAAGCTGGAAATTTACCAGGAGAACAGTGGCTGCATCCTTTCAGATGCAGTCACCATTCAATTATTCAGACAGCCAAGGAAATAGTTAGCAGTAGAGATACCTCCATCCACCCTGTAAGCATGGATGGGGAAATCGATTGATGAAGTATAGCAACCTTCAGAATGTGGTTGGGCTGGCCTGCAGATCCAACTCCAGTATGGTACATATTACATGGAGTTATTTATTAGTACGACTAAGGTCAATGTTTTCATCGCTCTCTTCACTTTACAGCAAAATGACTAGAGCCTAGCATGTTTTACTTGTATGCAAATCCGGACATTTGCCTATTACAATCAGCCGCCTATTATACAAATGAAGCCGAATGTGTGGCTTTCACTTCTTCTCATTGTCCTCTGTTCTCACTCTGAATGGGCATTCTTACCAATGGAGAGCATCATTGATCCGCAGCTTTGTGACTTCTTAAATGCTTCAAAATCCTGTCGTAAAAGGAAAATTCCATGCAGAACTTAAACAACATGTTAATTTATATACGTAATATTATTTCATGCATTGTCGAAGTCAAATCAATAGCTAGGTACACTAAATCCAAAGTTATATCTTGGAATAAACTATAAAAGAGCAAACAAGTGGCGCAAACACCTAGTGCATTATCCAAGGTTTATTTAAAATGTATAAAGAACAAAAATATACTAACAAACATCGCATGTAAAGCTTTGTATGTCAATGGAGATGGTCACAATAGGCAGGGTGTTTGACTGTCAGTGTGGTCGGCGCTCTGCCGCGTTTCGGGGACGGAGTTCATTTCCTCAGGGCTGAATCCCTGAAACGCTATCCATAGACCACCTTTTGTCCTGGTTCCCCTGGCCTTTGATTCCTGGAGCGCTGGAGAGTACACACTGTTGGAATAAACTATATTAAAAAGATTGGCTCCTACAAAAAGTATTGTATTTTGAGAACTGTATGCAACAAATACATGTGACGATCGTATAAAGTCAATCAATAGCTCCTTCTATTTGACATGCCTTTTTTTTGCAATTTTTCTTGATATTTATATTTGTCCTGAAAAAGTAACAGTGATATTATATTATTATTATACAGGATTTATATAGCACCAGCAGTTTGCTCAGTGCTTTATGACAAGCTATAACACTGGTGGAAGTGCCTATAACACTCATTTTTTTATTCATGCGCATAGACATGTGCACGCCAGAAAGTTATGTTTCATTTCAGATGCATTCGTTCATTGAAGGATTTCGTTTCATATTCGTTATTTTGAACTGATTCTTTTTCGGGATTTATTTTGTCATTCGTTCTGGGTGGATTCGAAACATTTTGCAGTTTTTTTCTAAAAAGGATGCTATATATTAGGTTTTGGTTTCGATATTTTGGGTGGATTTATATATCGAAACTGTTCAATATTTTCAGACTCAGCAAAATAAATCATGCAAAATTTGGTGGCCCAAAATTTTTCAACCCTAAGAATTACATTAGGCTGTGGAACTGAACTGACTGACTGTGACAGTTGCAAGTTCAATTTAAATCACCAATTTAACCGAATCCAAATTATTGAGCGAATGCAAAAATTTTATTAATTTTCCAATGGGCCCAAACTACAATTGCATCATATGACATCACCTGAATGAAACAAATGTATTTGTTAAAACTTTTTTCCCCAGATTCAGTGACATTCATTACTATGCCAATTCAGAGATTCATATACATCCACCGGCCAGGTTCCACTCCCTATACTGATAGATCTACAATCAGGAAAACTCACCCCCACCCTGCTGATTGCACACCTTTAGCTCTGTCTCCATCAGGGTCTTTACATACCCTTTGTTGTGATGTACTTAAAGTGGAACTAAACCCATCAATTTAACAGTTTAAAAAAAACAGTTACATTCTCAATATGCCAAGAATGCTGTCACAGTTGCTTCCGTCCTCAACCAAACATTCAAACCATCAAATAGCTGGTGTCATAACTTATCACCATGGCTGTTGCAGATCAAACAGTGTTTAGGATGGCAGCTTCTTTGGCTGACAATGATAGGAGGGTTTAGTTCCACTTTAACTTATTTACACTGAAAACTCTGTCAGGCTACAAAATTACTA